TCCGCAGGCTGACGCTCTATCCACTGAGCCAAACCGGTTAGGGCTGAATACTTTCTTAGTGTAAGTCTGTCCCAAGTGTCACCTGGGACAGATAAAATATAAAATGTATTTGGTTTTTGAAAGTCCCATGTAACTAGCCAGCCTGTGTTTTCATTTGCTAAATCTAGTCATCCTCCTCCCTCCCCATTTCCAAGCCACTCCCTGGCATCGTCACTTCATTCAGGAAATGCCTATTGAGTGACTGAGCCTTTGGTGCAGAATGACCAGCAATGACGTCTCTCGTTCCCTTTATCAGATGTGCACAACTCCTTACGAAACTCATGAGCGTGCTGAGGAGGACCTCACACCGTCATAGGAAAGCCTGATCAGTCAGATCCCAGGCAGCAGAATACATGACCGGCTCGTATGAGCAGGACTGGGAGTCAGCTGTGTCCACAGCGCCCAGCCCAGGGCCAGGCACACAGGATGAGCTCAATAAACTCTTGTGTATAAATTAATGCTCCATGTACAAAAACAAAACCCTCCCACAGGTCCCAATCCCAACTGCCCATCCCCAGTGGGGCACCCATCTTCACCTTTTAGACCCTCCTTCTCTTTTTCAACAAAAGGGAAGTCATGAATGCCCTTGGGGACTAGGCTTAACTAGTGGGGCCTTAATGGCCCCACATCCAGGCAGGAGAAGGGGCGCAGGGCCTGGGGGCCTGGGTTCTGCCCTCTGTCACCTCCCTGTCATTGCCCAGAAGGAGGGCAGTGAAGTGGGTGGGAGCAGGGCAGAGCTGTGTGGCTGCTCAGGGACACCCGTCAATCTCTTTCTATGACCCTCTCAGCCCAGGGTATGCCAGTGAACGCAGGGGTCATGGCTCTGGGTTCGAATTCAGACTTTGCCCAGTAGCTTCTGTGTGACCACATGACCTCTCCCAGCCTATTTCCCAATTTGCAACATGGCCATAAAGCACAACTTTAGAGTCTCTGTCCACCTAGATCTCAGCCCAGAGCAGGGGCTTGCACACATAGGCCCTCACAGTCCATTTGGGAAGCAAAAGGAGAGCTGGACACTAGCCAGACCAAGGGGACAGGCGTCCTCTCTATTGGTAGGGAGGGGTAAGGGCGCCACCGTGTGGCCAAGGCATGGAGAGGTGCCTGGCAATCAGCCCCTCATGAATGGTGTCAGATCTCCCCACTTTTCCCCTTCACCTCAAGGTCCCCCCAACCAGGTTCACCACCTTTCAGCCCTCCTGCCACCTCCTGGCACCGCATTACTGGTGCAGGTACTTGGATTCCGCCACCCCTAGGTCTGGCTTGTCTGTGTCCTGCAGTGTGTGCTCTAATGGCAGCAGCAAGGGAGCAGCTGAACTCACCTAATCAGAGGCCAAAGAACCATGGGGCG